AGATTTTTTTAAACTTTAAAGAGAGAGATTCAGGTGTAAATTTAATCTAGAAGATTTTTTTTTTTCCAAACAGTCCAAACAAGTTCACAGACATGGTGCAAGATTAACTTCTAGAATTCTCAAGTGAGATTCAATGTCCAGGGTACACAGGTGTGCCATGTACCTTGGCTACCATTCACTGAGCATGTATTGTGTGCCTGCCACACACTAGATTTACATGCATTATTTTATTTAATACTCACAGAAATTCTATGAGATAGGTACATAATTGTCCTTGTTTTACAGATTAGGAAACTAAAGATCTAAGAAGGTAAGTATTGCCTAAGCTCACAAAGATGGCAAGGGATGGAGCCGAATTTCAGATGCAGGTCAGCCTAACTCAGGAGCTGGAGCTCTTAATGGTTTTGTAGCACTCTCTCTCTAGACTTATTGTACTTACAATTCACTATACTTGCTTTGTGCTTTACTTGGTAAATGCCTCAGCTTTGACTTTTAACAAGGCGAAAAAGAGGAGACAAGGGAAGTGGCAAAAGAAACCGCTATACATTTAGGTTTGTAATTAGGAATAAGCAAAAATCAAGAGAAAATTACACATGTTAAATTACTGAAAAATAACTGTAAGTGTTCATCTGAAGAGAATATTTAGGTTTTTAAAAAAGGGATTACCTAGCAACAAGCAAGGGGAGTACCCATGCATGGACTGGGGGGATCGCTTAACACAGATATATATTAGGGAAAGTCAAAAGTGCATAAAATATTAAAGCCTTAATAAACATAATAATCTATCAACATCCGAACTTGGAAATCATATTTTTATCTATATTGCAAATATAATTAGGCAATAGATTCACTGAAAACACTTAATAGCCACAACTAACACAAAATTAAGAATGTTATACACAGACTTGATGCTAACTATATGTCAAATCTTCAGAACTTCTAATTAGAACCGTTTTTATTAGCCTTGTCTTGAGACATCTAAAATAATCAAACATGCTTAGAAAAGATACTGCAATTCACCTGCTGTGCGGTTTCAATTCTTTCTTCTTCCATTCCTAAGGAAGTAAAACCCTTCAAGAGAATGTCTTCTGTAGATTCAGGCACTATTGAATTCAGTTCAGCAGGCAGCAACTGAGGGGGTAAACTGCACGAGTCTTCAACTGGGAGCTTGAAAAAGAGAGCCACAAAGATACTTAAAAACCTGAAAATTCTCTGAACTTAATTCAAGACTGGGTTTCCATCTCAGTTGTTTTGAAAGAGGAAGAAATGTTTTCCATTAAATCATATGAAGTTAATAAATAACATATAATACTAACAGTTTTAACTAGACTCTCTCTATGTTAAATGCTAGTCTCAAATAGCAAACATGGCTAAGTGGGGTGGCGTGTACCTATAACCCCAGCTACTCAGGAAGCTGAGGTGGGCGGACTGCTTGAGCCCAGGAGTTCAAGACCGGCCTGGGCAATACAGTGAGAACTCATCTCAAAAAAAAAAAAAAAGAAAAAAAGAGGAAAACATGATACAGAACTCCCACCATTCATAAGGTATGATTTTTGAGTTAGCTTTCTAAGAGGGGTGGTGAATCTATGCTAACTCACACACACATTTGTCACTTGAAGCCCTTGTGAACTACCACCAAAGAGAAAACCTGTGTATTGTTGAAAGTAGCTTGCCCTTACCAGTATCTAACACAAAGGCCTGACCAACCAACAGGGTTAACAAATCACAGCCAAAAATTAACAACCAATAAAGAAACATTACCTCCTCCTACCATTTCCACTCACTGGCACACTTCTTCCATACCTTACTGAGAAATTTTGAAATTACAACTGAATAGGAAGAATTTCAGAGTCTCTGATCAGTTTTAGAAGAAACCCGTGGACAAGGCCTCACTCTGACACCATTAGAACTACAGTACTTTCTAGTTCTCCACTACTAAAGATAGCCCAGGTGTTAATTTAACTACAGTCTACAGACAAGCTGTTTTTAGACCTAAAAAAAAGGTGAAGTAGATGCTGGGGAAAGTAAAAGGCCCTAATTGTTTAGGTTCAAGTCCAGCCTTTAGCCCTTAGTTCAAGACATTCAAGGTCCACCAATATAAGACATGATCCAAGGCCTTAGGAAGTTACTTCCCTGTCTATTTTTCTAAATATAAGTTTCATCTGAGGATAGCATTTTATCTTCAAAGCTAAAATAAACTAGATGCAAAATGTACCACCACTAATTTCGAAACAATCCTTTAAATATAGGTTTTTTTGTGAATGGGTTCAAATGGGGCTATACTTATGACATGGGAGAGTACATTACAATGCAGTGTGGTTAGAATCCTGCTTATAAGCTGCACAACATTGGACAAATTACTTAATGCTTCTAATACCCAATTTCTTCTCTTATCTGATACAGATCCAGTATTTGTATCATAAGGCTACTGTGAAGAGTAAAGAAGAAAACACAGGTGTGGGGAAATCAGGGTCTTGGAATGCTGGGTAGTTGCATACAAAGTGTTCGGGAAGGTTCTTGATCTGGTTTCTCCCCACAAATGAATCTGACTCAAGAGTCAGGAGGGTCCTGGGTGTAGGTACATGTGTCTTACTACTATTATTATTTGTTTATGTCAACTCTTCTTGAATGGTAACATAATCCCTGAGTATAAAAGGACTGTGGCCCAGCAAGAATTAAGTTTCTCAAATCCAGTGAGAATTTACCTTGAGTCTAAAGTGTCAACAGCAACTGTGTGCTGCCACCAGCAGTTCTGGAGGACACAAGAAGCTGTGCTGAGCCACATCTGCACCTGCTCTGTGGAACCACCCCAATTACCAACAATGAGCTATCTCCTCGGGGAGAAAAGGCAGCCCACCCAAGACGAGGCTGCATGTATAGCACTTAGCATAAGATCTGCCACAGGGTAAATACTCAATAAATTTGAGCTGCTGCTATTACTCAGTATATTATTATTATTCCTATTTATTAGCAGCAACACAATAAGTAAATTTATAAACCTGAATCTATACTGCTTCTTGGAAACAGAATAGTCACTAAACTATCTTTACAAAATCATATTTTATTAGTAGTAAAATTTAGTTCTATGGCAGACGGGAGGCTCAGATTTGAAAAATATGCTGGAAAACACGTGAATGCTAAGCTAGGATAAAAAAGGTTGGGAAAAGAGTTGCTTGTACCCTAACAATAAGAAAAAGTCAAATAATCTACAAAATCATAACTGTTCTTGAATCTATCAGAGCTGAGGTTGTAGAGTAATCAAGTGGCTTAAAATCTGGGAAAAGACGGGCACCTCCAGGGAGAGACAAGCTGCAAGCACCAGCCCACCTGCATCGGGAAAAAAGAGATGACAAACACCATAAAATTTTTCAGCCCAATTGCTAAGGGCTAAGGGTGAGTAAAGGTTGAGTACCCCTAATCCAAAAATCCAAAATCCAAAATGCTCTGAAATTCACCACTTTTTGAGCACTAACATGATACTCAAAGGAAAGGCTCACTGGAGTATCTAGGATTTTGGATTTTCAAATTAGGGATGCTCAACCAGTAAACAAATATTCCAAAAGCCCAAATCCGAAACCAAAAACAGTTCTCCCAAGCAATTCAGAAAAGGGATACGCAAGCTTTGTACGGAGCACCTGGAAGCCACTGACACAAAGAAAGTTCACACCCACTCACTTGGTCTGCCCCACAGACCTCCACCAGACGCTCATGAGTAAGAATGGGAACAAGGTGGTGCAGGCCGGGAGAGGGGAGTGGCTGCTACTGTGTGGGGAAAGTGGGACACAAAGCCTCACCTGAACCCTTCTCCCCAGTGGAACAAAAGCCTGAAACAAAAGGGCAGCAAGTTCTGTCAACCCTAGGACACAGAGGAAGACTCTACTACAGCTGGGGAAAGGGAAATTGTATACACAAGGAGTGCAATGCGCACCACCCGAGGGATGGACATATTTGAAACTCGGACTTGGCGGGGGGACCAAGGGCAACATATGTAACCTAAACATCTGTACCCCCATAATATGCTGAAATAAAAGGAAAAAAAAAAAAACATTACCTCTGGGGGACAGGCAAGAAACCATCCAGGGCCCAGAACATTAGAGGTCTCCTACAGCTAGAGGAGAGACAGAATCAGTGAGAAAACCCACGGACAAGGGGCCTGCCTAAGACTGAGGCCTGACCTGGGTGACAGAAAACTCCTACCTACAACTACCAGTCTATAAAGCACCAGCAACCTACTTCTGAGGGAGAGGACAAAAGCAAAAAGAGCGACACTCTCTGAGGCACAAGCACACAACATACCGAAAGCTGAGGGTAGAGGAAGACTGTTAAGAAAATCCTGTAGCAACTCATTTCCCCAACCTAGGCAAAAGGCTATGCTAGAGAAACTTGAAGCCAGTGGTAAACAAAGATAACCAGAGCAACAACAAAACCTAAAGCCAGCTCAATTCCTGACTAGACTGACTCAACCTCCCACACTAATACCTAACAAAAAAAGAAGTGTGCCCTTTCCAGGCAATAATATTATGCCCCTCCTTCTCTACTGTCCTGCACACAATGTTCAGCATTCAATAAAAAGCAAGAAAAAACTACTCACTGTCAAGAGACAAAGCAATCAACAGAGCCAGACTCAAATGACCTGGATATCGGATCTATCAGACAAAGAACTTAAAATAACCATGATTAATATGTAAAAGGCCTGGTGTAATATCTAGATAAGAGGTATGAACACATATAGAATGTCAGCAAAAAAATGAAAACCGTAAGTGTCAAATGGAAATACTAGAAATAAAAATCACGGTAACAGAGATGAAGAACACTTGCAATGGGTTCATCAGTGCACTCAACACAGCTAAGGAAAGAATCAGTGAACTTGAAGTTGAGTCAATAAAAATCACCAAAAATGAAACATAAAGAGAAAACACAGTGAAAAAAAAAACTGAACATAGCATCCAAGAATTGTGGGATGGTGTCAAATTACATATGTGTAATTGGCATTCCAAAAGAAGGAGAGCAAGATAGAACACGGTAAAAGAAATATCTGAAGATATAATAGTTGAGAATTTTCCAAAAATAATGAAAGATATGAAACTACAATTCTAAGAAGCTCAGAGAACCCCACACAGAACACACACACACACACACACCTCTATACACATCATATTCGAACTCCCAAAAATCAAAGATAAAATCTTAAAGGCAGCCAGAGGGAAAAGACACATACAGAGGAATGAAGATAAGAATTACAGCAACCTCTCATCAGAAATTATGCAAGCCAGAAGACAGTGTAGTGACATCTTTAAAATGTCAAAAGGAAAACATTCAACCCAGAATTCTATACTTAGTAAAAATATCTTTCTTAAATGGAGAAATCAAAACTGTTTAAACAACCAAAAGCTGAAAGAATTCATTACCAGTAGACCTGTACTACAAGAAATGTTAAAGTTCTTCAGACAGATGAAATATAATACCAGATAGAAACATGAATCTACCAAAAAAACCTAGAGCTCCAAAAATGGTTAAAATGAAGGTAAGTATGACAGCTTTCTTTTTTAATCACTCAAAAAAAAATGTCAAAAGCAAAAATAGTAGCAATGTATTGTGGGTTTATAACATATATAAAAATAAAATGTGTGAAACAATAGCACAAAAGAGAGAAAGGAAGAAATAGAAGTATTCTGTTATAAGGTTCTTACACTATACATGAAGTGGTATAGTATTTAAAGGTAAACTGTGACTAATGAAAGTAGTACAGATGCTCCTCAACTACAATGGGGTTGTGTCCCAATAAACCCATGGTAAGTTGAAAATGTCCTAAGTCAAAAAATGTGTAGCTGAGTGGGAGCTGTGACTCACTACTACCGTCCAGCATTGCAAGAGAAGTACACTTTCTACTGAATGAACACATGTTGCTTTCACATCATGGGAAAGTCAAAAAACCTAAGTCAAACAATCGTTACGTCAGACGCTGGCTGTACGTTGTAAATCCTAAGGCAAACACACAGAGAACCTGGGAAACTTCAGTCCTTGAATA